GTTGAGGAATTTGGTTGGTAAAAGTGCTACCAGAAAGAACCAGAGACAGCAGGACAGGTGTAGAAGAAGAGGAAGAGAGAAAGAGAGAGAGAGAGAGAGAGAGAGAGAGCTGTCATCGCTGTGTGAGATGAGAGAGTGTTTGGTCTGCAGGACTGTTATTACTCTGCCCACCGTCATTTACACTTCATCACTGCAAAACAGACAGAGACAAGAAGACAGCCTGGCAGACAGAAGGTCAACGCATTAGTGTGTGTGTGTGTGTGTGTGTGTGTGTGTGTGTACAGTATATATGCATATATGTGTGATGTATGTGAGCTGCTGCTAACGTTTGTCCGAACTGCTGAAGGCCAAACTGGACTAATTATGAATGAGGAAAACTTTGCACCTTCAGATTTGAGCAGTACTGTGTAGTTTGTGGTAGTGTGTGTTGTTGTGTGTGGTGGTGTGCTGTGTGTTGTGCTGTGTGTGTGTGTGTGTTGGGCTCTCTCTGGCTCAGGCTCATTCACAAACTTAAATCACACAACACACACAAACACCAAGTACAGTCTGAGTCTCTGTGCCATGTGTTCGTTTCCTCTGACCCAGATTCAGTCCAGCCTGTCTGCACCGCATGTGTGTGTGTTTGTGTGCATTTATGTATGTGTGTGTGTGTGTGCGTGTGTGTGGTATCAGGACCAACCCAGGAGAAGCCCTATCCAGATAGGTTTCCCCTCGTTGACTGGGAACAGCATCTGTGGACGTCTGAGTCTGTGTGTGTCGATATCGATTCCATCAAGCGAGGAAACTCGCGCTGCGGCGGACCCCGGCGCGCATAAGTGTGTTTTTTGGAGGTCTGAAGAACTTCATTACCCAGAAATGTTAGAACACTGTATTAGTAACCCTGTACTAATACCAATAATCCAGAATATTGCTTTTAATTTCACATCCAAACCATCAATTAATTCAAAAACCATGTCTGGGAACTTTGCACTTTGGTGACCCCAAGTGGCTACAGCAGGGAACTGCTTTCATTTTCAAAGGTTGACACTCCTATAGATCCTGTTACATTACAGAGAATTGTGTATTCGACATAAAATGCATGTTGCTGTTCAGAAACAACTGTTGTCTTTCACTCCAACCTTTGACTTTTAACTTCCTCCTGAAAAGGAAATTTCAAAATGGGGTGTTTAATTTTTCAAATCAAACATATCTTGAGTGTGCATTTTGTAAATACAGGAAATACAAGAACAATTAATGTTATACCACAAAAAAAGGAAACTGATAGTATAAATAGTGCCACCACCTTCCATCCAGCATGAAATAATAGTAAATAACTAATGCATGTTTATCTCGATATAAACATGAATCTGCACCATGTATTTCATTGCGTGTGTGTCTGTGTGTGTGCGTGTGTGCTCGGTACTAACGCTCCTGCTTGGCACCGTCCCTTCAGAAAGCTCCAGCTCTTAATGAGAGCAGACAGGTCTTTGGCAGAGTGACCATAAAACTATTCCTAACTGCAGATCGCTTTAAAATGGATCCGTCACAAAAAAGTGCTTCTGCTGCTGCTGCTGCTGCTGCTGCGTGTGTGTGGAGTTACAACTACACTGTATGTATACACTGTACACACACATTTAAAAAGAAAGAGTGTTAATGAAGGAAACCTGGAAGAGGCGTTAAGGGAAAAGAGGAGACTAACAGAACAACAGAGAATGTGGGTTAAATTCTAAAACCTGAACACATTCGAGATGGAAGAAAGAAGTGTTTTCTGGCAGTTTGCTCATAATACGACATTTTCCTTAAACCGGATTTTTATAACAACAAATTATTGTAAAAACAAGGTGAAAGAGGTCCCTCGTAGTAATGAAGCTAAAGAGAATTATAACCTGAATATGCAGCTCTCCTCTGCTTTACAGATGTTTATAGTGATAGTGTTGTAACAACTGTACTGTTTCGGTTCACTCTCACGGTTCTCATGGTGTTGTTTTGATCGAAAAAGCTCTAAAAGCTGTTCGATTCCTGCTCAGCACCGAACAGCAGACACACAGTTGGTTAGCTGGTGGACATTTAGCAGCTAAAGAACCAGATATTTTCTTCAGGAGGTGGTGGAGACCAAAAGTAGAGCTAAAAGAGAGTGACTATTAAAAACTCCAAATGTTGCTAACAAGCTCAGTTTAAAAGGTGATGATATGTCGATGTATGTTCACGTGTTTCTGCTGCCCCAATGTGGCCAAAAAGATGTTATCGCAGGTTTAAGTCACGAAAACTGAACAAACAAACCAAGAGATGCTATTAACCTGAACAATTCCATCAATACAAACTCAAAACAAAATGACAAAATAGGTTGTGAGTGACGCAACAACAGTCCTTTTTTAGGTTCAGGCAACTAAAAATACATGAACTTAAGAGTTTTCTAGTTTAAGAATCCAGCTGTGATTAAAAAAAGAACCCTCTGCTTTGCTACTGAACGTGAACATAACTCAAGTACTTTGAACTAATAGCTAGTGCTGTCATTTTATGAGGATTTCACCTTTTATTTGCTGAAGACAGGTTTGTCTCCTCTTACTGGATCTGCACCTGGAACAAGCTTTTAACTGTCATAAAGGAGATCTTGTCTCAGAAACAATGAGACACAAGATGTCCCCGAAATGCAACTGCAATTTGGTGACTCAGGAACTTCTTAACATTTTGGACCCAACATGGGCACGTCTGACATGTCGTCTCCACGAGCAATCAAGCAGCAGACTAGTTGCTGAGACATGAAACAGCAAGAAGGTCCCATCAGATCTCCATCGCTGTCTGTCTCCCTTCCCCACAGAGCAGATGATTATTAGGCTGCAGCCCAGCATCTCTCTCTCTCTCCCCCCCTTCTCCCGCACACAGTTTAACAGCATTCATGAGGCATTTCATTGACTACACTGACTTCTCAACCTTAACTTACAGATTTGGTCAAGACCCGGTCCAGAGAAAGTCCAGAACTCTCCTCACTCTGCGGATTCTTCCACATTTTGCTCTGCTTGTGGGGACATTTGGTCCTCATAAGTATAGGCACACTCAGCCTTTCATTCCTCTATCTGACTGACATGCCTCACCCCCCCCTTCCAACCCTCCAACACCCCCACCATAAACTTGGCCGTGGTCCCCGGTTGCATTCCGGGAACGCGTCTCGCTCGGTGTCAGATGTAACGGAGAGGAGCACCGCGAGTTCAAGCCCCGCACACGGCCAACGTGCCTCCGCTAGTCGAGCTTCGCTTTTTTTTTTCTCCTCCCCCCTTTTTCTTTTTCTTTTGGAGGTTTTTCCTCTTTCTCTGACCCCCCTGCTCGCTCTCGCTCTCGCTCTCGTCTTTCTCTCCTCGTTCCTCTCTCTCCTCGCTGTCTCTTCTTGTCTTTGCTCGGGTGCGCAGTCCAGTTCACTCTGACAACCGCGCCTTAGTGGTGCAGCCCGTGGGTCGGACACGCCGGCCGCCGTTCCTGTCTCTCAGCCGTGGATGAGCGACGTGCGCCTTCTCGCTGCTCAGCGCCGCGCCTGCTTTTGTCCCACAGTCTCCTTCTGCGTCTCTCTCTCTGTTCTCTCTCTCTCTCTCTCAGTAAAAGGTTAAGCACAGATTCAGACACATTCCTCCTGCGCACAAAGGATGGTGGGACTTTTCCCGATTGATCAGGACTCAATATGCTAATGAGAAGATGAGTCCCTCAGGCAGCGGAGTGAAGCATCGCACCAATAAAAGATCAATAGAAGATCGATATCCCTCACTGACAGCTGGGAAAAGTTGCGCTCAACACGTGCATGTCTCAGGATCGTCCTGTTTCTGTCTGTCAGCTTGTAAGAGGAGGAATCTGGGTTCCTGGATGATCTCCGAAACATGCAGCATGCTGGGAACTTTTTTTTGGACGCAGCCGAGATGAGCGGAGAGAGAGAAAGAGAGAGAGAAAGAGAGAGAGAGAGAAAGAGAGAGAGTCCGAGGTGTGCACTTTACCCTCACCTTCACCCTTCACACTTTAACTCACACATCTTTCTCCCCCTTCCTCATTCCCTCTCTCACATTCTTCTCATTTCTGCAGTTGAAACATTGAACTTTAATTTGAAATCTCGCGGAAACAGCGAGACTTTCGTTTGGATTCTGTGTCTGACTTGTGCGGGGAGACACCCGCCGCAGTATCAGATATGATGGATAGCCTATCAGCCTGACTGCGGCTCGACCCCTCCGCGCAGGGAGAGTCGCGCCGCGGCTGGCTGACCCGACACACTCCCGTCTGAGATAATAAAAAAGCCACTGATCTGATCGCCTGGTGGAGCCACAGCAGAGTGGGAGACAGATTGCAGGGCTATAAACTAATCAAAAGTGAAGTGAAAGACTTTGATGGTCGTGCGCGCCTGTGTGTGTGTGTCTGTGTGTGTGTGGCTGCCGGCGGCTGCGCACGGACTGGAGTCGCTCTGTGTGCATCACAGGCGCTCCGGATGAGAATGAACCAGCTTAAATTAAACCTAAAGACGCACATTTCTCGGGCTGAGGTGAGACTTTGGGAGTAGATTTAACACTGCGCATCGTCGGATGTTGGAACAAACTCATAAAAGTTGTGAATAATGGTGGGAGGTGAGTTTTTTCTGGTTGCTTGAACTGGTGGATGTTTGAGAGCATCACCAACTGGACGCTAAAACGCTTGTGGCAAAATATGTGAAAATGAGCAATATTGGTGTAAACGGCTGTTCTGTATATCAAGATGATCTCAATGTCCCACTGCGGACTGACTCATCAGTAACTTGCTGACAGAGATCCGTTAAACGCGCGCACAGTAAACCAGTGAAACAGTGTAAAAGTGATGAATGAACTCAAACTCAAAATGCCCAAAAATAAAGTCTCGAAATTCTGAAATTCTGAAAGAATCAAATAAAGAAACAGATAAAACTGATTCCACCATAAACTGATAAAGTCCCCCGCACAGACACCGGGACCCGCGCTGACCCAGACACCGTGTCGCGCTCCACCAAGCCCCCCTCCCTGCCCCGAGGACGCGCTTACCTGCAGAAGCCAGTGGCAGGTCTCGCCGATGAAAGGGAAGCCCATGGATCCTTTGGGCATGGGAAGCTTGCAGTTTTTATCCCGCGTGGCCGTCCATCTAAGCTGCCACAGCTGCTGGGAGACGGCGAGGAGCAGGGCCATGGACACCAGGCAGGCGGCCAGAGTGGCCAGAGCCGAGACGAGGTCGAAACTGTCGAACAGCATGGTGATGGAGAGCCCGGCGGTCTCTCTGGAGCTCCGGACGACTTTTCAAAAAAAGCTGGTGAAAGTTTCTTTAAAGTTTATATTCGTGACAAAAATGTGTAGATCTGGATCCGGATCTGGATGATTTAAAAGTTGGAAGTTTTTTTGCGTAAAAGCGCAGCGCTCTTTTACGCACTCCCGAGCCCTCTGGAAGTGTGCTTTCAGAATGAATGAACTTTGTGGAGTGCGATCTTTTCTTTCAGATAGATTGAATCTCTATCTTCAAATAGTCACAAAGTGGCGTTTCTGTGCGTAAAAAGTGCAAATCAGAGTGTCGCCTGAGCGGAGGAGATGCTACAGGTGAGCTGCGCTCCCCGTATCTTCAGTATCACTCCTCAGCGTGTAAAGTGAAAAAATAAAACCATTAAAACTCACTTTGTTTTAATGATTTAAGCATTTAGCACAACAATCACACAAGGCTGGGGACTGTCCTGATGTTTGAAATCTCATTTTTGGTCTCGTTTGTGGGTCAGTGACTTAAAATGAAGTTTTTTTTTTATCTGAAACTTGAAGGCAAGCAAAAATCTCAAGGTGACACGTTTATGTCAAAAGCTGGGACACCGTGGGACACGTGGAAAAAGTGAAGCCGAGCCCTGGAACTAACAAGGGCTTTACTTTTTAAAACTTCTCGAGGGATGGAAAGACTTGGTTTGGGGGGAAAAATGAACGAAAGCTCTTCCAGGAATCGCGTCTCTCTCTCTCTCTCTCTCTCTCTCTCCTCTCAACTCCAAAAAAAGTGTTTTGTTTTGTTTTTTCAAAAAAGCCTCTTTAAAAAAGTTTTTAATCTCTCTCTGAAGCAAACACGAGGAAGATAAAGTGTAGACTTTTAAGATCCGTGAGCGTGCAGGGATGAATAGGTGCGCAGGAGATGCTCAAGAGCCACCGTCCTCCTTCTCCTTCTCTCACTTTCTGTCGTCCACTCTCTTCTCTGTGTACCTTTCTGTTTCTGAGCGCTCCTCTCTCTCTCTCTCTCT